GGTACCTAGGTACATTGGGTATCTAGAGAAGACACTGTATTTAATTTGTTAAATTTGAATTCTTCGCTTAAATACCTATTTAATTTCGTACAATTTCGAACTTCAAATATCTAAAATATAATATCTAAAAAAACTGCATTTATATAAATTTTAAATTTTTTGGCAACAGTATGAATGTAGAATCTTATTTTAGATTTTAAATTCTTAGCTATAAAGATTGAACATTTCATACATTTTTAACTTAATTTGCAAATTTCCAATTTGATAAACTTTATCATAATTCGAACCTTGATAAGTGATTAAGAAAAATAATTTTAATATTATTAACTTGTATTTAAGACGTGTTTAAGATTTTGAGACGTTGAGACAACCTTGGGAGACAACATTAAATGCTGGTATGGGGTGGGCACAGGACCTTTATCATTATATAAAAAAAATTTTTTCACAGCTTCTTTAATTTTTTATTCTAAATTTTATGGTAATATTTCTTTAAACTTATGTTACAAAATACTTACTATATGGCGATTTTAAAAATGTATTTAATACTATTATGATTAAATAACATTCCATCAATTATCATTCATAATATTTATATTTAATTATATAACGTATTGCGGGACTTAGAGAATATTTGAGCAATCGCTTATTTTCTAAGGTACTGGTGTTCTTCGTTAATTTGAATAATATAATAGTATAAATTCAACTTGTCTTATACTTTTTTACAATTGTAATAAATATTACATCAAACCACACAATTGTTGATCATTTGACGCTTCTACCATCCTGTCACCATCTCCTGTAAGCCGGGTGAACGCAACAAATGTATAAAATACCTAAGTACTACATAATATTATGTGTTATGATTTATGACATGCATACCCTACTATGTTTAATTTTCATGAACAATCGTTAGAACTGTTAAAAATTGTTACACATAACTCAACATAAGTAAAAAAAAAAATATGTACCCAGACAAATATTGGTTTCAATTACAATAATTAAAATTACATTATATTGGACTTAGTTATGTTTATTATACAGTTCACGAATCCACTCAATGTAGTACTCGACATTTGTAAAAACTGAGATGGTATTAGTTGAATTTAAATCTTTGGTGCACGCTACTCCAGTTAAATAATAAGCATTAGAGTGGAAAAAGCATAAGCCAGCACCACTATCTCCGTAACCCAATTCTTGTCCTGAAAAAAAAAAAAAATCATAATACTTAATATAATATTACCACTGTTATTGGGTAAAATACGCGAAGCAATAGAGGTACAATACAGATTTACCTTTTTAATGAAAAATAATGCACAAGTACCACATTAAAATTACATATTATCATAAAGTACATTCATAAGCGTGAGCAGACTTTTGGTTCCGGGGGTGCACACTAATAATTAGACATCACAATAATTTTGAAAACAATAATTATAGATACAGACGAATTTTTTAAAGATATCAAATGCACTAAAAATATTTATTTTATTTTATTATTCATTCTAATAAATATTATATAACAGTACCTATATGTATAGTATACTATCTTATAATGATAATCAACGTTTATAAGGAACAACATTTTTGAATTCGTCAATAATTTCATTAATTTAATTTTCACATAATTAATAATTGGGACCCTTGGTGTTTTTGGTGAAGGGTCCGGGGGTGCCCAAGCACCCCCGGCACCCTCTGTGCGCACGAATATAAGTACATCTCACATGTGTCAGATGTGGTTCAAAACTATAATATTTAGAGGTGTCTTGTACACACATCCACACTGAGCACACTCTATTAGTGGAAATTGTGATAAAAGTCACTGTTATAGTCAATAACTTAATAATTTCAAACTATAATTTATTTTTATTGGTAACAGTCAGTGGCGTATTAAGATTTTTATCCAGGGCTTGAAACTGGTCTCAAAACTGATTTTAGAAACCAGCACCTATATGCCGTTAAAAACCCGATACAGAAAAAAATTGGATACGGGTATTATAATCTAAAACCAAAACCAAAATTATTGGAAACCGGTATTATAACTCAAAACAGAAACAGGAAAAAAATGGAAACTGGTATTTAATCAGAAAATATTATTTAAAAAAAATCTTTGATATCTTGAATATTTTGGAAAGTTTAATTTACATAAAAGGCGATTTGAATGTGTGATGAAAAGAATTAAGAAACTAAGATTGAACGTAAATAGTCCAGTTCTTGAAACTGATTTTAGAAAACTGTAGAAACAGTTTAAAATTGAAACCGAAAACAAAATAAATAACGAAACCGGAAAAATTGGAAATTGGGATTATAATTTAAAACCCAAACCGAAAAGAATTGGAAACCGGTCTTAAATCCAAAACCAATTCCGAAAAACAATTGTATACAAAATCAATACCGAAACCAAAATTGTCTAATACTGGTATTGAAAAATTGAAACCATAATCGAAAAAATTAGAAACTGGTATACAAAACTAAAACAGAAACCAAAATTTGGTTTCATGTTCTGTTTTTATCATGGGTTTTTTTTCATGCCGTTTCAGGGTTCTGTCACTGTCTGCCTCCCTAGTCCCTCCTCATATATATTACCATATAAACACTCTCTATATTATATTATTATATCCTATTTGCTTATTGTACGGGTTAGGTTAGGTTAGGTTAGGGTTAGGGCTAACCTAACCTACAGATTGTAGATTCTCTATTTAAGTAAAAAAAAAAAATGTAATTTCTATTTTATTACCTAATTCAGAACCGGCACACAACTTATCGGCAGTCACATATGATTCAAATCCGTTTCTATACATATTCCGGCAAGAACTATAATCAATGTACTGTAAAGATGCTTCTAATAAAATAGGACTTAGAAAGCCTTTCTCCGTTTTTCCCCAACCAGCAATCTGTAAAAGTATAAAACAGAAGTACCTACAATGTGCGATTATAATATTATTAACGTATAATAATAATCCATTTTAAAATCTTAAAAAAAGTATATAAACACAGTTTTTTTTGTATACAATGATATTATATCATTGAGTTTAAATTTATCATAATCCATTGTAACCTACTGTACAGGAAAGTGGTATTCACTTGCCCACTATTTAGTTAAGTACTGTAAATTTGTAACATGAGAATATATATACAAACTTTTGCAGAGTATCTCACTGTTTTTTCTTTTTAAATACTAATATTACATGAAATAAATGGACATTTCTCGATCTTTAAGTACTCTAAAAGTCTAAACAGATACAGCCATTAAATATCCTGTAGATATTTGTAATAGTTCCGGGTCCACAGTTTTTTAAGGACCAATTTAATATCACATCAGGACCTAGGGTTTTTGTGGTTAGGAAGTTTCCCGATGACGTTAAAAACTCCACTTGAAAAGATCTTTCAAGTTTCAATGCGCATTCATTTTTATGGCATTGCTGTTTTCGGTATTGGAGGTGTTAATAGTCTTGGATGCGAAAAGTTTAGAAGGATGGTGATGTTTGAATCTGGGTAGAGGTTGTACCGGATATTGTGGGAACTCGTTTATTGTAATTCTATTGGAATGTTTCTTTGAGATATTTCGTCTTACAGAAGTTTTTTCTTGAATTATTTTTAAGAAAATAGGACTTTTGTATAGTTTGAGGTGGTATTATCTTGGTAATTTTAGCATTTTGGTTCTTGTTTGGAGGTTATTTTTCAGTATTTTGCTCCATGTGAACCGGCACATTTGAGACACCTGGATGAAGACTTAAGTGATAGAATCTTTAACACAACATTGGGAGGGACCAGATTTTCTGTACTATTTGACTTTGACACTAACGTAGAATAAATTTTTCCGATCGAAAATTTGTTACTGGGAAGTTTGGAAGGATAAAAATAAACATCAGCAGCAATGTGATTGAACTGGGGGGGGGGGGGATAGTGACCCATATGTCTTACGCCTTTTGAGTGGCTTGGCCATGGTTGAATTTCGTTGGCCAGCAGTTGTACGGCACGCGACCTCAACGTCAATTGCTTCATAGTTTTTGATAGATATAGAATAAAGTACTTACGGTAAGTGTGTTTCATGCTCTGTACCTCGTGTGCTGAAGTGTGCAGGAGAATCTTGACGATACCTGGACTATCATTTCTTGGGTGAAATACTAAATACAAAATGTCTCTACATGTACAAGTGCTGTGATTGGAACATTTCATTCGTGTTTGCCACTCTAGAAACACATCACTTTCTATATATTTTCAAATTGGTTGATGCTAGTCTCGCTCGACATAACATATTTCTTCAATGTGTAATTGTATTGTTGATTTTTTAGTTTTACTGTACTCCGTTACAACCCCCCCCCCCCCACATTCATCATCTAGTGAGTGGAATAATCTGGTGTCAAATTACTTGACTTACATGTCTTTGGATCGATGCCTTGAACAATTCTAGTCGAACTGCGTTTCTTGATATGCCCAAACCTAAGCAGATAGGAGTGTCATTAATTGGTTCCCTAACTGTTTTGGTCAGTAGTCCATGTCGTCCTATGTTATCCATAACATACTTCTATGCATGTGAGAGATGCTAATGTTTTAGATTCTGAGCGGAGCGATGAATGTATTGGTTTTACAATGAAGTATGTTTTTATATTTTTTTATTTTTATATTTTTATATTTTTTTTTGTGTCTGTCATCACGTTTTAGGACAGTAAAAGTGCTTGGATTTTCTTCATCAGTAGCTTTTCTGATAGGAAAGTGAATCTAGTTGGTACTTTGGGGGGTCAAAAGTATAAATTTCCCAGTAGTTTTCACAAGCGCCGGGAAAAAACAACATAAAAATTAAGGAAAAACGAGAATTTTTACGCAAAATCGGTTTTCCAAAAAATCGATTTTGGTTATTGGTGTAACTCTAAAACAAATGAACGTATATACATGCAATTTTCACTGGTTGTTTATATTTGCATTTTCTATACACGATAACATTTTCAAAATATTTTGATTTATTTTGAACTGTTTAGGGACATTTTCATTTTCCATTTTTTTTTAGTTTTTTTTCTAAAAATATAAATAAAATGTTATTTGTTGGTTGCGAAAGCTTGAAAATTTAATAGAAGGCTCCTAATATATTGTTTCAAAGGCAGATGAAAAATATTAAAAATCCTTAGTCACAATTTTTTTTTATAAACATTTAAAGTTGAAAAATTGTAAAAATATGGAAAAATCACGAAAATTAGCAAATTATTTTGAGTTAAGAATTCGTAAAAATTTTTCATTTTAAATCTAAGATTTGAAAGTGAAACACAAGATTCCTTATAAGATTATCTACCTTTATCAATAAAAAAATCTCTACCGGACAGTCAAATTAAATTTTTATGAGCGTTTGAAATTCAAATTTTTACAACATTGGATTTTCACTCGATTATTCATGTAGCGATTTCCTTATTTTGTTGCAATTCAAAAACGAACAACTGTAGATACATAAAAATTTCACTGAATGTTTAAATTAGCATTTTCTATACACCATACAATTTTGAAAATATTTTGCATCTTTTTGGGCTGTTTATGGACATTTACAGCTTTCAATTTTTTTTAGTTTTTTTTTCTATAAATATCAATAAATATTTATCTGTTGGGCTAAAAAATGTAAAAATTTAATACAAGGCTCCTGATATATTGTTACAATAGCAGTTGAAAAATATTAAAAATACATAGGCACAGTTTTTTTTTATAAGCATTTAAAGATCAAATTTTGACAAAATTTATCAAAATCTCGAAAATTATCAATCATTGTAATTAATAAATTATAAAATGTTCAGTTTTTATAGCTAAGGATTACAAATTCAACACAAAGGTTCTCATAAATAGTTCATACTATAACCAAAAAATCTAAAAAATATATGAACACACTTATTTTTTACAGACATTTTAAATTCAAATTTGGACGAAATTACATATTAAAAAACCTAGAATAACTATTTTAGTTATTTTGTTGTGATTGAATAATATTATTCGTGGGTACTTGAAACTTCTCAAGTGTACTATTATATATCTATGATAGTATCACGGTTTTTGTTGATCGTTATACATACATGCGTTATAAGTATCTAATGGATATTGTGATATGATTAATTTGGAATTTATTGTAGGTACCTATTATAGGTCAATTTTTTGTTTAATACCATAGCTATGTATATAATATGTCTTATACATAGACTGACATACCGTTACCGCTCAGAATCGTTTTTCTTATACAATGATATTATATCATTGAATTCAAATTTAATACCATCCATTATACAGTGACCCACTTGTAACCTACTGTACAGCAGAGCGACACCCACTTGCCCACCTTTTTTTTTTCAAATGGAATATAATATTTGTCTAGTGTTTTTTCTGTCACATTTTCCAATCCCAAGGTCAATTCCACTGGTCCTTTTCTTCAATGTTCCTTGCTTTGTTTATTTCATTTTCCGAAGTGATAATATGGTTTGTTTATTTATTTATTTTAATTGCAACTAAACCTTCTCCTTTCTTTTTATGATTATTAAGCCTTTAAGACCATCCCATATATAAAAAAGCTTAAATTGTTCTCTGTCTAGCGCTAAACTTCTCCAATCGGAATCGCTTCCCTGCATTTGTTCTACGTCTTTTTTTATTACATCTACCCACCGCTTTCATGGTCTTCCCAACGGTATTTTCCCTACATGATTTGATCCCAACGCAGCAGTGAATTTTGGTTCGTCCAAGCCACCGTAGTCTTCCCCTTCGAATACGTCCTTCAATATGTCCAAACCACTGTATAAAGTTCCCAGCTTTTTCTTCTTTCTTCGTCCCCATCTTAAATTGCAACAACTTAATTACAACAAAAATTTTCTTTATCTTTAAATATTCGTCTTCTTTTTTTTGCTGCATCTTGTTTTGCTTTTTCAAATTTATTGGTGCCTTATTGAATTGATAATTTTTAGTTTGTTGACTGTTCTTATATTCTATTCTATATTCTAAATTGTCGGTTTTGATTAATCGATACTATCATCCTTCTGATTGTCTTACTATGTTTGATGTTTCGTATTTAAGCAATGTTTTGTTTGTCCATGTCATACTATAGACTAACTTCAGCCACGTTAAAGAGTTCTTTCCGTCTTCTGTTCACAGTTATTGCATATTATTCACGATCACTTTCGTTATAACGAATGGTCCGTGAAATATCTGGAATAGTTTTTTTATTTCTCTCTTGTTTGCATAAGTCATAGTTTCTTATTAACACATATTGTCTTCCTCTATAAAAATCCATTATGAATAAAATTCAAACCATTAAAAAAAATTACGATCAATCACTAATGCCTCACCATACCTATGTCTTTAACTTTAATTTACACACACATTTAAATATAAAAACCGTTTACGCTGAAACTATAACGTTCTACAAAAGATTTTATTATAGACTTCCTTCCAATTCCAATAAATTTATATCAAATCTAGCTACTCGAAAAATACCGAGAAAACCCCCACGGTGTTTGAAAAGAAATTGCTGTCGTGATTTACTTAATGAAAAAAAAAACAAGTAGGAATTGCATTCAATGGATGGTTTCTTTAATCGCGTATTTCATGTTATAAATTCTCACTTATCACATATTGTTCAAGGGGACAGATGTGTATTTATTTATTAAAACAAAATAAATAAAAAATGATCGATAGTGAAAAATACAGTACTGTAAACTGTAATTCATCACAATCTAATTATTTAAATAACACTATAAACCAACCTTTCCAACATCTCCATCGTGTTCGTTGTGTTCACCTTTCCAATCGACACAAACTGGTGCGACAAAACTACTAAAAGAAACTCTATTTTGTAACTGTACAATAGCTATATCTCCAAATAGAAACCCAGAAGGCCCATAAAAATGTTCATTCACGTAAACCATTTCCACCTATACAATAAAATTATTTTAAATTCATACCATATAATATGGCATAGCAATTATTCGTAGACTTTGAATTATTAATGACTTACATTAATTATTTTAGTATATTCATTGTCATTAATCGTTAAGTTTTTATCATATTTTCCAACAGCAATTTTGTACTGTCCGTCGTTTATCTTTATTTTTCTAAGCTTACCGTCTGACGAAAAACAATGAGCCGCTAAAAATGATATCTATTTAATTTTCATTCTTTTTCAAATTTTTTGTTCAAACATTTTACCAGAAACGACTAGATTCGGAGAAATAATTGTTCCTCCACAAATCAATTTATAGTTGGAACTTCCTTTTTTAAATTCATATACTCCCACATTCCAAGGTGCTGCTCCAAGAGGTGCTTTTGTACCATTGAATATCAATGGTTCACTCATGTCATAAACTTTACCGCAAGCTACAATAATTTTTGAATATAATTATGAATTATTATAATTAAGTGTACAAGTACCTAATACAAAATATATAATAGACATACTGTTTATGGTTCAAAATTTAGCATAAAACGATTATGTCTATCCATAAGATTAATTATTCTTCCCTTATTTTATTATTTGTAAATCAAACAAAAACATTTGGTTACACTTAAAAATAAGTTAATTAAAAAAATTTAAATAAATTAGAGTCTTATATTTAAACGACAAAAAATAAAATTACTTGGAATGCATCTATATAGTTGTTTGTCCCACGTTCCATTAGATTGACAAACTAATTCTAGCAGACCATCTGGTTGTCCATATGGTGGAGTATATGATGGCTTACATGATGGTTTTGCTGTTGTTTTGGGTATAGATAAGTTTGAACAATTAGCATATTTACCATTATGCCTACATTCAATATCTAAGCTATCTGATTCTAGAGGTTGACACATTTCTATAAACATAAATAAATTATAATCAAACATGACCATACTTTGAGCTTATAATATATTAATAAAAAATGATTACGTAATTTTAATAAGTTTCTATGCAAAACTTACTTAAACACAATTTATAAGGATTCGCTAACCATTTTCCTCTTCCACGACAATACCTATTACTATGGGGGAAATCCTTGTGATATCCAACCCCACAATCCTCAACAACATTAATGTGACGATCTATTAATGTCCCGTGCGATAATATTTCATTAGAATCTTCGTATGAATATATAACTCCTTCAACCGTTGGTAAGACGCATGAATTCACTGTGACCTGTCAAAAACTTAAATGTTAAAAATATATATTCTTTCTAAAATACATTAGTTTTGGACCAGAAGTTGTCATTAAAAACCAACCAAATTAAGTAAGTTGAATTGATACCTTTAAAAGAAGATATTTACATACATGTTTGTTTAAAATTCCACGTATCCACTCAATATAGTATTTTATGTCTGTTATACCTATAAATGTGTTTTTTATTAATTTGTCTTTGAATTGGCGATCTTCTAATATTAATACTCCGGTTAAAAAATAAGTATTTAAGTGTAAAAAGCTTATGTCTAATCCGGGAATTCTATAATCTGCATCTTGATCTGAAACAAGAGATATTTTATAAATAAGACAATTATCCATTCAAATTGCAACTTTCTTTGGGTTATCTAGTGGTAAAGTATTTGGTTTAAATATATTTATTTATTTAAAAATCAAAGCTTTTCGGTTTTTTAAACAACAGTGTTTCAAAAAACAATATAGATATTTTCAAAAAGTGGTTATGCTTAAATAAGAGTTTTCTTTTGTTTTTTGATTTTTCCAACCATTTAGAATTTAAAAAAGTACTAGAATATTTTACTCTTTACCCTCAAAGTTCCAACTAGATCCAATCTTCTATATAAACCTTCCATAATAATTCAAAATCAAATTTAATAATCAGAATATAAATATTTATTACCCGTCAATCTGATACAAATCTTATCATAATTCACCAAATCTGAATAAAAGCGTTCATCAAATAATTTTAGACAAGTACTGTTATCGATGTATGGGAAAAATCCTATTGTTGCTTGCAATTTATTCGTTTTATGATTTGGCCGTTTTACAACTCCAACAATCTGTAAAAGTATGAAACAGTTTTATGAAATACAAATATCTCTTTATGAAAGTGTCGGTAATGAGTCCAATTGTATTTGTTAAAAAAAATTCTGACTAAACAATGTTTTAAATTTAAAAATCTATCAAATATGAAATAAGAATATTTTTTAGTGGTTTTACATAATTTTTATATTCTTTTTGCCAGAGGAAGCAATAATAATAACTGAAAATGTCCACACAGAACATATTCCTACGACTTATTAGCATATTATGCGCAATTATACCATTAACATCTGGGGTGCTATAATTGTAAATTCCCCTCACACCTCCTACTACAAACATGATATAATCTTGAAACTTGAAAACTTTTTATACACATTTTAATACACTTCAATATTTCATATTAATTATAAAATATAAAATATTTACCTAAAATACTCCCTTTATTAATATTATATTAAGAAAAAACAGTAAATTCTAAATAATCCAAAGTCCAATACAGTGTACCTCTACATAGACATAGTACTTTTTGATGTGAACCATTGGCTATAAGTTGCTCGTAACTCATAACCAATCCATATATCCGTAATGTGTACCTATCTTACAATAATCTCGTATATTAACTACAGGAGTATTTAATAGTTTTTAAGGAATTAATATTATGACTTAAGTCATAGTTATGACCAAAATTGTTTTAATTTTTGTTCGGTTAATATTTTATAATTGAATAACATACAATTGATGGTATTTCATTATCACAATAATAGTTGGACGTAGACCTAAAAAAACAAGTGGTACTAAATTTTAACTTGGTGTGCTAAAGACTCTTTTTAACCTCTTAGTTGGATCAATAGATATTAGGGATATGAAGAGAAACAAATCTATCCTAACCTAACCTTTGTTTAATTCACAACGGACAAATAATTATTACTGCAAATTTCAATCTGAATCGATGTTTAGGTTAGGATTTTGATTTCGTATACCTACATTCCTCGGAACTAAGCAGTGACGTAAATTAATTTAAAAGGATTAACTCACAGAACTCCCTAATTTTGTCCATATCCTACCACTTTGTAAAAACCATTAAAAACTAAACCAGGCAATAGATATCATATTATAAATTATGTATTTAATAAATCTACTAACCAGGTACCTCTATAGTACAACATAAAATGTACCTTTATTTGAGCTTCATTCCGCACATTATATTTACTATGCCAATCGATACAAATAGGTTCATAACCATAACCAAACGAAATTTTGTTTGCTAGCACTAAAACTGACAAATCTGGAGATTTCGAATTATAACTTTTATTATAATCTCCAACCATGTAAATCATTGTTACCTGCAAAATTGTTGTTATTTATATTATACACAATATCATACAAATTGTTTGTAGACTTTGAATTATTAATAACTTACATTGATTACATGTTTAACTGGGTCAATCATTCTTAGTTTTAATGGAAAACCACCAACTATGAATTGACCATCGTTTATTGATGTTTGCTTAGAATTTATCCCGTAATGCCGTAAACCTTCAGCCACTAAAAACGATATTTAGTTAATTTTCATTCCTCATTCAATAGAGAATTTTTGTGTAGAGAATTTACTAGAAATGACTATATTTGGAGCAATAATTGTTCCAAATAAAATAAATTTCAATTCAGAAGTATTTCGATATATTGCAACTGTCCAGGGTGATACTTCAGCAAATGATTGATCAGCAAATGATAGATTACCATCTTCGGATATTACTTGGTTTTTTATATTTAATCTACCACAATCTAAAACCATTTTATATATTATTAGATGTAATATTAGAAACTCGATTTCTAAATATTATCATATGTCATAAAGCAAATTATTTTGTACCCATGGCCATATTTGTTCCAATCTCGTATATAGCACACAATTCTTTGGTCTCATCTGAACCATCGGAACAATCCTTAGGACCATTACAAACCAACGGCCATTCGATACACAGTCCATTTAAACATCTAAACTTATCATCAGTGTTTCTATAATTGTATTCAAATGAGCAAAAAATTATTATAATATTAATTATATTACTATAAGCAAATATGAAAGCTATACGAATATAAACAATTGGTATAAAATAGATTCAAGATAAAAATAAACAATTCAATTTTAGAGCATAATATTATAATTAAATGTTATATTTTAGGTCGGAAGCCGATATCCTATGCATAGTCAAAAATTAAACGATAGATAAAAAAAGAAAGGATGTTTGATAAAGTTAGTTTTTACATAGTAAAAATATAAAAAAAATAATCTTGATTTTGAATATTTTGGTTTTGATCTTCATGATCACATAATTAAAATGTGTAGTTGGTACTATGAATTCCTAATATTAAATATAGATCGTATATTGATTGATGGTGCTAGTTAAGACTTTAGGGTTCTAATAAGATCCCGTGGCCCTAACCACCACTATTTTCGGAACTTATAATAACATTTTATTTATTTATACTAAAGTCACTAACGCTGAGCAAGATGATGCAGCTTGTCGTTTTTCGAGTTTTCTGTCACACCAAATCCCTGAAATAATTAATTTGTATGCATTAAACTATACGTAAGCAATGTTTATTGGATTAAGATATTATTATTTATTGTTTTAATCAGCATTTGCAGTTTGAATTCAATAATTAATAGTTAGTGTCTCAAACAGTACTGACACATGGAATAACTTTTTTGGTATTCGATATTTTTTTTTTTTTTGTTTTCTGTTTTATTTGTAGACGCTTCCGCTACATGTTTGAAAAAAAAAAATTTACTTTTAGATTCTGAGTGAAACGATGAATGTATTGATTTTATAATGATGTGTGTTTTTTTTTTTTTGATTTTTTATTTTATTATTTTTTTTTGTGTCTACACGATAAGTAGTCGAAATAATGCTTCGATTTTCGACTTCAGTATCTTGTTCGATTGGAAAGTGAATATCGTTGGTGCATTGAGGAGGTCAAAATTTAAAATTCCCAGTACTTTTCAAAAGCGCCAAGAAAAACAAAAGAAAAATTAAGGAAAAACGGGAATTTTTACGCAAAATCGATTTTTCAGAAAATTGAATTTGGTTTTTGGTGTAACTTTAAAACAAATGACCGTAGATACATGACATTTTCACTTTTTGTTTATTTTTGCATTTTCTATACACGATAACATTTTCAAAATATTTTGATTTATTTTGAACTGTTTAGAGACATTTTAATTTTTCGTTTTTTTTTAGTTTTTTTTCTAGAAATATCAATAAAATTGTATTTGTTGGTTAAAAAAACTTGAAAATTTAATAGAAGGCTCCTAGTATATTGTTTCAAAGGCAGATGAAAAATATTAAAAATCCTTAGTCACAGTTTTTTTTTATAAGCATTTAAAGTTCAAAAATTGGAAAAATATGGAAAAATCACGAAAATTAGCAAATTATTTTGAGTTAAGAATTCGTAAAAATTTTTCTTTTTAAATCTAAGATTTGAAAATGTAATACAAGATTACTCATAAGTTTGTCTACCTTTATTAATAAAAAATCTCTACCGGACAGTCAAATTAAATTTTTATGAGCGTTTGAAATTCAAATTTTTACAACATTGGATGTTCACTCGATTTCTCATGTAACGATTTCCTTATTTTGTTGTTATTCATAAACGAATAACTATAGATACATGAAAATTTCACTGAATGTTTATATTAGCATTTCCTATACACCATACAATTTTGAAAACATTTTGACTCTTTTTGTGCTGTTTACGGATATTTTCCTTTTTCAATTTTTTTAGTTTGGCCGCCGTATTGGTTAACAGCAAAAACACCCGGTTTTAATTTACCGCGTGCCTTGTGGACCACCTTAAACCGCATTAGAACCGAACAAGGAAAATGTAATTACCTACTACATAAATGGGGTATGGTGAAATCACCTTTATGTGGCTGTGGGCAAATACAAACTATCAGGCACATAGTAAATGAATGCCCAATAACAAAATATACGGGAAGTTTTGAGGAAATCCACTCAGCCAGCGATGATGCCATCAAGTGGATGGAAAATTTAGATGTGTGCCTGTGACCTAGTTCAAGCCTAATCGGAAAGAGGAAAGTGCCATACATTACCAATTTTGTTACCAAATTTATTTTTTATCCTGTTGTAATCTCTCATTTTAAATTTATTTTAGTATTTTATTTTTTTTGTTAGCCTCAGTTTTAGTTCACTAGTTTATTAGCCCTTATTACCTATTGTTAAATTATGTCTTTAGTCTTTACTATTTATGCTAGAGCCATATGCTAATAATAATAATACCATCCATTATACATTGACCCATTTGTAACCTACTGTACAACAGAGCACCTATTTTTTCAAATCTAATCGATTTGAAAATGTAATACAAGATTCCTCATGAGTTTACTTACATATACTCGTATATCATATTATCGGGTATATCATTGAATTGAAATTAAACACCATACATTATACTGTGACCTACTTGTAAACTACTGTACATCAGAACAACACCCACTGAGTATATTATATTCTCTATATTGAAAATAAAAATTTTTAATTTTGATAAAATTAATAAATTAAGCAATTTTGATGACAAAACATTTTTATGAGTTAAGTAGTTTATTTTTAAATAATCAACATATTTTTTGGAGTACCTAAATTAATTTAAAATGTACATAGGTACCTATAACTTTTTTCAAAATACTATTTTTGAATGTATTTCTTAAATTATTTATTATCCATATAGGTAATGTTCACAATGTTTGTCATTCGTTTAAGTAGCATACATTTTTTTTTTTAGATCTTTATGTTTAACTCTGTATATATTAATGTTTATATGTAAGTAGTAGTTTTATATGTATTATTCGTAGATAAATTATTAAACATTTTATTACTTAATATCTTAAATTTAAACCATTTGATCTTATTATTGTAATTTGTATTATTATTTATAGGTACCTAATACAATTGATATTTACGATATGATACCTACGTAAAGAAATATGTTTGTATTTTTTGTAAATGTCTCTAACCTAGAAGGATATTTTTCTTCGTACCTACCTAATTTTTCACATTTCTAAGGATAACTGGTATCTGTTTTAAAACTGAATACTGTTTTTTACTGTAATTACCATTATACAGTGTGTTTCCTTTTAAAGGTAACACTACATATTTCAATAAAGTGATCTCGGATTGTTATGGGGTTTTCGGGAGGAGTTGAGGAATACATAAACACACATTTTTTGATGATTTTCAAATGTTTATATAATTCAGTGTGTGCATGTGCAATACAACTTACTATTTTTTTTTAACAGCAACAAGTATTTTAAATATCAAATTCGGATAGACCGATTTTTTTTAAATAATTTTGACCTCTTAAACATGGCTCTAAAACCAAAATTAACAGAATGACAACAAGCAAATGTTTTAATTTAAATTATTGAATTTTTCACCAATTATCCTATTATTTTACAAATTCCACGTATTTTTTTTCATTCATACCTATAACATGGTTTTAGACATTAAGAGGACATCGCACCTGCATATTATGCCGCCTCTACCTTACACGCGTTCGACATAGCAAATTTTACTTCACCAGTTTCAATAGTGTGTTCAGTGTTGTTAGTTTTGATACTAGAGTAAATCGACCAATTATCAAACTTTTAGGTAAGAACATTATATGTGTCCTACTGTCCTGTCGTTGGTTTTTTACAATATTTTAAATTTTAAGTGAGTTATGAGAATTTACAAATATTAATATTTTACATACTCATAACACACTTAAAAATTAAAATATCGAAAAAATCAACGAGATGACACATATAATGTTCTTACCTAAAAGTTTGATAATTGGTCGATTTACTCTAATATTAAAACTAACACTGAGCACACTATTGAAACTGGTGAAGTAAAATTTGCGTGTGCAAGGTAGAGGCGGCATATGCAGGCGCGATGTCCTCTTAATGTCTAAAACCATGTTAGGTATTAGTGAAAAAAAATACCTACATAGAATTTGTAAAATAATAATTATTGGTGAAAAATTCAAACATTTGCTCTTTGTCATTCGGTCAATTTTGGTTTTAGATCCATGGTTAAGAGCAGTGTTGGGAAAATATAACCAAAAAATCATCTGGATAAGATAATAGATAATTCATTCAAAATTTATCTAGATAAGATAAAATATAACATATTTTTTTATCTAGATAAATATAAAAATACACATATATTTATCTAGATAAAAAAATAGATGATTTGTTTTTAAATTATATTATTATAAATTTCTTAGCTAAAATAATATACAATTTTAATTTTTAATATAACTTAAACAAAAATAAAATAACAAAATAAAACTAACAATGTTTAAGACTTTGAGTAAACATTTCTTTTTTTCACTATGATAATTTTGGAATTTGGGATCACTACTCGGTTCTCCTAAATTATTGGCTATTTCAGTATTTAAAAATATTCTTATTATTATATTATTTATCTAGATAAATTACCACAGATAACCTTTACATTTATCTAGATAAGATAATTTAAGAAATAATTTTATCTAGATAATTCTCAACACTGGTTAAGCTTAAGAGGTTAAAATTACTTGAAAAAATCGGTCTATCTGAATTTGATATTTAAAACACCTGTTGCAATTTAAAAAATAGCAAGTTGTATTGCGGATGCGCCCAATGAATGATATACACATTTGAAAATCATCAAAAAATGTGTATTTATGTATTCCTTAACTCCTTCCGAAAACCCCAAACAATCCGAGGTTACTGGATTGAAATATGCGTAGTGTTACCTTTAAAAGAAAACACACTGTATACCTTAGAATAAATATTTATATGTGCCTACCTATACATATACATAAATATATATAAAATATATGCGCGACTCCTTGCGTTTAGCTATGACGGGTGGGGGGTAAGGGGATATCCCCCGTTTAGCTTAGAGAGCTAGTGAGATTATTTAAAATAATAAAACATTATCATAGGAATAATTTTATTATATATTGTTTCAGTTCCAAAACCACTTTACATAGAATACGCCCGCACACACATGCACACATATAATATAATACTAAATTTATATTATAATATGGTCAATTAAAAATTAAAACTGAGAATAATTGAAAAAAGTATTCGTATAGTAAGTTCAATTTAAACTAATCAGTTTGAAAAATATTTTTTATCAAAATTACAGATTATTGTTATGATTAAGTAATCATACTGGTGCATAATATATTGTAATATTGTATTTAAACCTTTTCACGTTAGATAATATGTATATGTTACGGGCAATGTGGAACACCTGTGTGAATTATTTTATTACATTAGCAATTGGATTATTGGAATATCAATGTGTTCCTACATTGCCCGGTCGATGTGTTCCTAACCGGGCCATGTGAACCACGATTTTTTTTTATTGACCAACTAATATTATTTTTTATTTTCATTATAAATTATAATTTTATTATTACCTATTTATAATAATTTATAGTACTGTATTTTTTTTATAATTTTAAAATGTCTTATATATTATTATATTGTTAAGAATGTTTGATGGAATAACAAAAAAAAATTAACAAATTTAACTGATTTTATCAAAAAAGCTATTACTTTTATCATTCCGATATGGCAATATCCATACGGGAAAACTATGATTCTTAAATAATCAGTACGATAGGTAATAAAAATAAGTTTATACACCATGTTTCAAAAATGTCATAGCTTATTGTAAAATTGCATTGCATTTAATGTATTATAAACAGGGACAGAAACCGGTTTAACCGGTTTTCTGAAAAACCGGTTAAAACCGCGGTTTTTGCATTTTTGAACACCGTAACCGAAACCGAAACCAAGAGCTTTAAAACCTCGGTTAAAAAACCAGAACCGTAACCTAAGAATTTAAAAAACCATTTATAATACCCAGACCGTAACCAAAAAATTTTAAAACCGTTCTTCAAAACCGATTAACATTTAAAACTAATATCGGTTTCTTAGAATTTTCTAAGATTTTTTAAATTTTTATTTTTATTAATTCTAGTTAAAACAAGTAATTTTCTACGAAGAGAATATTATATTTGAATTAATATGTATGAAAAATTCCCGATGCTATTACTGAGTATTACGAAATATTAATAATACGATATTACGAATATTATTCTATTTATACTACCTACCTATATTTTATTACTAGATTTGTTGATTCTAAATTAAAATACAAATATCACAATTGTTATTTTTATCGCCCCTATGCGTGGCTATGCACATCTGTATTGTAAATTGTTATTATTTGAAGAATTCGTCTATATTATTATTTAATTAGAATTGTATTTTCGTATTCGACTGATCCGCGTCCGTCCCGCTGTCCCGCAGACCGCAGTTATCATTAATCGCATGAGACCATTTTAAGGAAGCTATAGTTTAAATTTTAAGTTCCTACCACTATGGAAAGTGCATTAAAACAGTTGTATTTTTTACGTAGCACATATTTTTTTTATAATCCCCCCCTCCCAGACATAAGGCATATTATATAATTTATATTGAAAAGAAAGAAGATATTATGTACTACATAATATAATATAATATCTAATATATAGTGTACATGTATTTAGTATTTCTTACTGAGTGTCTTAACTACTGCAACATACAAAAATATATTGTATTTGTGTGCATGTAATATGTTATTAGGTAGGTACTTATTAATTATTATTTATTTCCTATAGGCAATTGGTGATACAAATTACCAATGTTATTAAAAATATATGTATAATACCATAATATACCTTTATTGAGTATGTATATATAATATTTATATATATATTCCTAACAATCCCTTGATCAGAACCCAATATATCTGTATCCTTAGACAGTGCCACCCCTGAGGCTCAGGCCCTTTCCCCTTAATAGTTAATAGATAATACAAATCAGGTCTATAGATATTACTGGAAGGGGCGAAGTAGTGTGACTTATTGGGAAGAAGTACTGCGACCAACGTCCAACAACCTCCATCGACTCTCGATACCATTGAAAAAAAAAAATTATTACTGGAAACTAAAAACCGTAACCGAAAATTTTTGAAAACCGTGGTTTTTGAAACCGATAAATTTAAAAAACCCTTTTTTGAAACCGAAACCAAAACCGAAAAATTTAAAAAAC